ACCGGCCTCCCGTGCCGCAGTACCGCGCCACACCACACGCAGCGCCCCACGCCACACCCCACGCCACGCTCCACGGCACACCCCACGCCACGCTGCACGCCGCGTCCCGCGCTGTGCCCCACACCGCGTCCTGTGCTGCGCCACACACCGCGTCCCACACCGGCCTCCCACGCCGCACCCCACACCACCTCCCACTCTGTGTCCCACGCCGGCCTCCCGTGCCGCGTCCCGCGCCCCACCCCACGCCACGCTCCACGCCACACCACACGCCACGCTCCACGCCACACCCCACGCCACGATACACGCCGCGTCCCGCGCCGCACCCCACGCCGCGTCCCACACCGGCCTCCCACGCCGCGTCCCGCGCCCCACCCCACGCCGCGCCCCACGCCACACCCCACGCCACGCTCCACGCCGCGTCCCGCGCTGTGCCCCACGCCGCACCCCACGCCGCGTCCCACACCGGCCTCCCACGCCGCGTCCCGCACCGCACCCCACGCCGCACCCCATGCCGCGTCCCACGCCGCGTCCCGCGCCGCACCCCACGCTGTGTCCAACGCCACGTCCCATGCTGCGTCCCGCGCTGCGCCCCACACCATGTCCCATACCGCGTCCCACGCCGCACCCCACACCACGTCCCACGCCCTGTCCCGCGCTGCGCACCACGCCGTGTCCCACACCGGCCTCCCACGCCGCGTCCCGTGCTGCGCCCCACGCCGTGTCTCACACCGGCCTCCCACGCCGCACCCCACACCATGTCCCACACTGCGTCCCGCGCTGCGCCCCATGCCGTGTCCCACGCCGCGTCCCACGCCGCGTCCCGCGCTGCGCCCCATGCTGTGTCCCACGCCGCGTCCCACGCCCCGTCCCGCGCTGCGCCCCACGCCGTGTCCCACACCGGCCTCCCACACCGCACCCCACACCACGTCCCACGCCCCGTCCCGCACTGCGCCCCACGCCGTGTCCCACACCGGCCTCCCACGCCGCGCCCCACACCGCATCCCACGCCCCGTCCCGTGCTGTGCCCCACGCCGTGTCTCACACCGGCCTCCCACACCGCACCCCACACCACGTCCCACGCCCCGTCCCGCACTGCGCCCCACGCCGTGTCCCACACCGGCCTCCCACGCCGCACCCCACACCGCGTCCCACGCTGCATCCCGTGCCGGCCTCCCCGCTTCTCAGGCAGCCGGCAGCGACCATCTGACACAGCCGTCGCCCCTGCCCGGCCGGGCTCAGAGCAGCGTGGATCCCAACACCGGCCGCAGCCTGCGTCCTCGGTTGCCATAGCGACAGCGTTGCTTTGACCTATAAAGCATCCATTAGTGCTGCCACCCTAGGGACCCTCCGGGCTCCAGGACGACATGCGGGCCCCACGCACTTGCAGACCCCTGCAGGCCCGGCCACACGGTGCACCTGGACTCACAGACTCGTGACCTAAACAGCAAGCCAGGCCCCGCCACGGCCCTTCCCTCGGCAGCGAGACCCAGGGTGAAAAGCTCCATCGTTTGGACATTCCTTTGTAAGTTTTCAAGTCCCCTCTGGCCCCTCAGCCTGTCCCCCGCCCTCCGGGGCCTCTCGGGGACCCTGAGGGTCACGGCCACAGCGCCGGGAGCTCCGAGGCTCCCCGACCCCTGGATTTCTTCGCACCGTTCTGCCTCCCTGGGCCCAGGTGTGAACCCCACACGCCGGCACCAAGGCCCCTCCCGCACAGCCCTCCATCCGCGCACCGGGGTCCTCCTCTGCAAGCAGTCTCTGGGCACGGCCGCCGCCGCGGGGGACGGGCGGGGGCTCTGGCTGTCCCGGGGGGAGGTGGAGGCGCCGAGGCGGACTCCCCCCGGGGAGTCCCAGGCTGCCGCGGGCCGCTCATGGGCCATGCGGGGCACACTGCGCGGCCGCGCAGAGGCGTGGCACGGCTGCCAGTGCACCGGCACATGGGAGCCGGGCTCTGGAGGCGGCAGGGACGGGGCCCGGGGCATCTTCCTCTTCACGCAACACTCGCTCTCTGGCAACAGCCTCACAGAGGCCCACGGCCTCCACCAGCCCCACCGGAGAGGTCCAGGGGAGCCCAGGCCAGAAACGCACCAGCCCACCCTCCCCAGAGGGCCCGAGGCGAAGCCCGGAGCAGGAGTGCTTCTAGAACCCCAACTCAAAACTGGAAGTAGACATGAATGAGCCATGGAGGAAAAAGCCAAGAGAATGAGGCCCGAGTTCGAGTCTCAGTACTGGCATACACACACAAATCTAAATTATGAACATATATTAAAACATATACAGGCTGGGCGCTGGTGGCTCACGCCTGTAATCCTAGCTACTCAGGAGGCTGAGATCTGAGGATCGCGGTTCAAAGCCAGCCCGGGCAGGAGAGACTGTGAGACTCCTATCTCCAATAAACCACCAGAAAGCCGGAAGTGGCGCTGTGGCTCAAGTGGTAGAGCACTG